TGTATAGTCAGTGACCGACTGGACTGGCATTGGAGTACAAAGGCCTGGCCTGCTTGTCTCAAAGTGGGACAATTCCGTGAGGTTATTCACACCCTGCAGCTCCCATGGGACCCCGCTGTGGCTGGACTCCAGCTGAGCCCACTCGCTCCCAGTCCTGCTTCCCTTACACCCTTAATGGCTTTCTGCTGAAAACACTTCCTCAGTCAATCATGTGCACAAGAATCCTCATTTCGGAATCTGCTTCTAGGAATCCCCTGACCTAAAACCCCAGGTTAGCCACTCCCTTCCTTGAAGAAATAATGCTAATGGGACCATGCAGGAAGAGGTGCAGGCTGGGAGCTGGGGATCCAGAGAGAGGACGCTTCAGGTCCAGGAGAGGAAAGAAACACCAGACAGATGATTTCTGTGTGGTGGTGAGTGCTGTGAGGAAGGACAGGCTGAGGTGTGAGCCCTGGTTCCCTCCTTTGCCACCCGAACACTGCCCAGGAGCAGCGGGGACAGTATGTAGGGGGAGCTCAGTTTCAGATCAGGGCTCAGGGAACCTGTGAGTTTGTTTGGGTCTGAAGAGGAGCCTAGGTACACCCACAGAGCGTGAAAAGCAGGCCCAGAAAGTTCTCTGTGGCTGGGATGTCCTCCTACTCAGCGGTTTAGGAATCTTCTCTTTGTGAAGACATTCTTTTGGATCTGAGGGAAGGTCTTTGAAGCAGGTAGGGAATGTGGATAGCTCTTCACATGGGACATGTTAGGTTCCACTGACAAGCTGGATGGCATCGCACAGGCATTGAATGGAACTGAGAAGAACCTGGAACATTCTGCCAGGGCATGAAGTCAGTGCCAGAGACTGACTGGTTGGTGACCCCACTGAGTCTCCAACATGACTAGGGCCTGGGAGGCTCATGTCCTAAGTTGGCAACCCCAACAACATTCACCCAATCCAGACATCTTTGTAGGCGTGGTTTGTAGTTAGTAGGCGTTCAATATACATTTTATCTTTTAAAGTTTTTTTTAAAGAGAAGTTGTACTGATTTAGAATTCTTGCAGGGCAAATGACCATGTTCACAGAGGGAGATCAATAGCTTTAAATATGTTTTAGATTTCCAAAGCGTGGCTCCACATTAAAAATTATTTGTGTCAAATCTGCTCTTTTATT